TACCGGAAGTCTTCGAGATCGGAGAACCTCCACTCAAGACGATCAAAATGTTCGAGGATCTGGTGTGGAAGGCTTTGGTGTTTCAGAACAGTTTGATCGAAGTTGGGAAGGAGGTGGCATCGTTCCGGAAGCTGATTGAAAAGATGACCATGAAGAGACTGCTACTGGTCATAATGCAGATTCAGAATGTGATTAGTGAGTTGGTTAGTAGGGAGAGCGAAACCCTGAAAGAGGAAGTGAAAGGAACGTTGAAGATGTTGGTAGATCGATTTTTGGCGGGGAGATTTGTGACGGAGCTGAAATCACAGCCGAAGAAGGTTAAGTGGAATTGTAAAATGTTGATTGGTGAGCTCCTGAAAGTTGACATCGGTGAGTTGGTCGAAGGATAGGTTTAGCTCTTAGACACGACCCTGGTGGCTTGAAATAGAATATTTAGGCTTGGCGGAAAAGAAGTCTCGGCGAAGTGTAAAGTGACCGGTGTTTTCCATGGTGCCAGCGATTGGAGCAGTTCGGTAAGCATTTCAACATCGCGATGTTTGCAATCATCCTTATAGAACTGATCCGAACTTAGCTTTTCGAACTCTATGAGGTTTGAATTGATTATGTAATCCGAGCCGCACAGAACGTCGTAAGGACAACAAAGACCCCCATCTGGTTGTAGTAGTTTTATCAGTGGTCTTTTAGCATGTTTGATTCCGTAAGGCTTCACCACTTCGTTGATCAGCCCGAGGATCAGCCAACCAACATTCAGTTCCATAATTCGTTCCTCATCGTGACTGACATATGTAGATGTATTCGCCTTCGATGATCACCGGCGTTTGCTTTTCTACTATCGACAGCACTCCAGCTTTTACAGGTGTTCTCTGGCCGGCACTGTTTTTCGCCAGAGACATCATACTTTCCTCCATTTGTCCGATTGTTGGACTATCTAACCGTGTGGAAATATTAAAACCCACCTCCACCAGGGAAGTCTGATTCCGGTTGAAAGTCCCACTAGAACGCTGGCGACTCATCTTTGATTGAGTCGATGGCTTTCGGAAGAAACTCCTCCCGGAAGCGTTCATCAGAATCTGAAGAGCATCTGGACCAGTTTCCTCTGATGATGCACGCTCGCTACCTGTGGTTCATCCGAGTCCTCATCATACTCCAGTCCAGTAGAAGTTATTGTCCTGTCGGAAATTGGAAGTGCCTCCCCCGGAGAACATTATCGCTCCAAGCTTGGATTCGGTGGCTGAGGCCGTTGCTTATTAGGTTTAGTGTAGTCCTTTTACGATAGAATTTGGGAGCAACGAATCGAGAGTGACTCGACGACAGTAAGGTTGCCAAACATACCATTAAACAAACAAAAAAATCAAACTAATGACACTCTCGGCACTGCCAGCACAGCTGCGGCAGACATGAGGCACACTGAGAAAAAAGTTGGAGCAAAATGCCTGTGTAGAGTGACCACCCCTTATCTTGATTCCACTATCGAATGGCATTTGCTATATAAGATGAGGTTACGAAATAATTAAAAAAATATGCTCTGCAAACAACGCTCTTTGAAAACAATTTTATGAATATGTTACTGGAAAAAATGCAATAGGAGGACATTTTCGGGCAAAAGGAGGATGTAGAAAAATTGTTGAAAAAGGAGGACATGTCCTCCTTTAGGATACCATATGGTAACCCTAATAAGGCAAAATTACTAGTATGCACTGTTATAAACCTTAGATATTTTTAATTATATGCATATCCATCAGATACACAAATGCACTGACTTTTTCTCTAACCATGTGGTTTGTGATAAGATAAAGCTAAATGAATAATTGAAACTCAAATCAGACATCATAGAAAAAAAAACTTAATAAATAAATCCCTACCCGGATACTAAGTTGCCGCATTAGAGATAGGTAGTTTCAAAAACATGCAACACAAACAATCCCTACATTTCGACGAAAAGTATACATTCCAGTCGCAATGGAACAGACAAATCAAATAAAATGCTCCCGACATTCGACACAAGACGGGAAGCGGACGCGAACTGAAATCAAACACTTGTCATATCACTTCCATCTCTCAGGGTGCAATTAGGACACAAGTACCAAACAGCAATCGCCGGAACAAAATATGTTTACATTTAACCACAGAGAGCGCAACCCCGTCGGTCGCCGTCACCCACCGTCATGCTGCCAGTGCGAGCCGAAACACGTGGCCCGCAATCGGAACAAGACGGGATATTTTCTCCCTCAAATCATTTTGCTTTTTCCACACAATATCGTTGTACGGATCACGGTACAATAGGAAAAATTGTGGCCACGCTTACTCACTTAGCAGCCGTGTGGGTCCCTTGTAAATATGTGCGTGCCACCCTTCATAGCAACAGAGAGGTATCGTTGTTTGCGGATGGAGTTTTAGCCGGTAGGCCAGAGCACTAATTCGGCCTAATCGCCCAATTTGGGCCTATCGAGCAGAAAACATCAAATAAATCCTTTGTTTCATATTTAACAAGTTAATTGTGCTTTTGGTATGATACTTTAGTTCAAAAGCTACCAAACAAAGTCAATGAGAACGCGTGATACGAATGTTTACACCAGTTTTTACTCAAAAACAAAAGAAGCACCAATAGGCCGAAGTGAATTCACTGGCGTTTGAATGGCGTTCCAATGCATTAGGCCTAATTTAGAATCCGTAGGCCGAGTTTGGGGTGAAAAAGCAGTGTTAGATTTTTAACAATACAAACTTAGCAAAATTGATGATAATTTAGGTGCGCTGAGACTAACATATACGAGCGTTAATTTTGACATAAAATTTAGTCATAATAGACGCGAAATTCAGCTCAATCAAACGTACTTTGGAAGTTTTCAGTCTCGGAGCACTTAATTTTACATAACATGTTTGTTTAGGTCTCATACTTTGTGTCAAAGATGGATTCCGTCACGTGTAAGATTATGTATTTCTAAGTGTGTATCTCACCAATTTGTTTATCTTTAGCTAATCTTACAGTACATACGAAAAGGTAAATAAATTTAAAAGTCGTCTGCAATGAAAACATTCCATTTTGTGAAAAAAAATTCACTCGAAAAATAGAGGCATAGGGCGAGTTGTGCTTAGTAGGCCCTCAATTAGATCTAAGCCCTATTCCTTTTTACCAATTCCAAGCTGCCTGAGTACTGACCGCAAATGGTATATTTATTACCAAACACAGGTAACAAAGAATCCTGAGAAAAATAATATTGGTTAAAACTCCATCCGCAAACAACGGTAGCTCCCTGTACAACAGTGATTATGCTTTACTGCTTCCGGATATGTCACCCTCCAACCTCGAATCACTTGAACCTTTCGCAACCAGAGTTCGAGACACGGCATACGAAAAGGACAGGATAATGTATTTACATTCAAGGACTCCTAATTGCTAAATCAACAACTTGTTGTTTATTGTTTGTATCGGTAGGCATCTGAACTTTTCTCACCTCGTCCGAGTGATTATCGGGAAGATTGAAATATCAATGATCTCCCAACTTCAATTAATACATATTTAGGGTAATTCTCCAATTGTTGCACAGCTAAGCATGTGATTTTTGTTATTTATCGAATGTAGGTTTGGGCGAGGTTGAAAACGGTTTTTGAAGTAGGAATTCCTCAAGAAATCTTAAATTGCGATTGATGAAACATATCCAGAGCTCTTTTGCCATTTATATTCGTTAAAACTTTCCTTATAATAAATCTTTTGATTGTGTCTCAAAGTCCAATTGTTGCACGCACTATTTGCATTTAAATTCTATTATTGCACACTTTGTATCTAACTATTGCACACCCACAAAATCTGGCTAAATGCATCTTCACTAGATCTGATAGATGCTTGAACGTAACTTTCAGGTATAGTGTACTCACGATATCAGTTATTTGATTAATTTTATTGAGCCGGTTAACCATGGAATTTAAGCGGCGCCGGTGGTGTAGTGGTAAGCGGTGTAGTGGCGCCGCCGGGATGTTCTGAGGCATAACATCTCTGATCATGCCTTCCTTCGGAAGGGAAGTAAAGCCGTTGGTCCCCGGTTCATGAGTTGATGGGTCGATAGGTAGGGTCCAGGTGTGGGAGCTGCCTTCCTGGCGTCGGTAGCATTGGTGTTCAGCACGGAAAACAAGATCGACGGAAAACAAACCAATGGAAAAAAAAACATGGAATTTACCTTCCACGTTGCATACCATTAGGCGTTATCTTTATAGACAATAATACAGGACCAAGCGTCTAAATTTGATCCAATTATTCGACATTTATGTTTTTCCTTTAAATTTAACATGGTTGATGGATGTATTGCAATAGATCGTTGGATAAAAGAATAATGAACATTTTCCTGTAAACATTACCTAAGTTAATGAAATTTTATGCAAGTAATAGCTTTAAAGCAAATTTTATCACAATATTTACAATAATGACTGTCAAAAGAACTTTTTTATCATTCAACAATCGATCAATGATTAACATGTCACCTTGATCGGTATATGTCATGGTCATAGATAAAAGCTGAACAGTAAACAAATTGAAGTGCGCAACAATTGGGTGGCGTCCATCAGTTGGCAACTTACCCTAATGACCGATTGCTGAAAAGGCACTGTTGTTATTTTCTTTACATTCAATTTACTGTTAAAAACTTGTCGACCACTATCAAAAATTATTATTTGACAGTTGTGTTCCATGCACAGCGAACATTCGATGCAATAGATGGGGATCAGAAAACATGCTAGAACAATTCAAACACTCGATTTTTCCATCTCATCATCACAAACACCTCCCAAGGAAAACCACTCTTCACAAAACAATTCAAGGGTGACATGCTTACGATAAATGCTCACCGTGAGAACCAGAACGGCTGCTACCGATACCGTCGTCGTTAACTTGTTTCTAAAGTCATTGTATTCCCGCCACCATATGTCCCATTACAATACCACGCGTCACTTAGACTAACCGGAAGCATACTTTCTTTTTCCCTTTTTTTTTCTTTCTCCATACTTTTCAGCCGTTCAACACGAGCGCGCCCCTCGCAATTGTGCACCACTAGCAGCGCTGAATGGAATAAATCCTTCCGATTTCTACTCTTCCCGGCCCTTCACGATGCCACAGACAAATCTGTTTTTTCCGCTCCCTCTGCACATAACAGCATCGTCGGCATTCACCCCCATGGATCCCACCCGCTTTATGTCACCCTACGGGGGGGCAACGATGTTTGATCACTTTCCGCCGACGGCATTCGCTGCATCCTCGGTGCCACCCATGGCCAATCTGAAGTGCGACAAATCCATTTCAGAGTCGATTTTTTCCAAGATTGCCGGTGATACGGCGCCGCTTCAACCACCACCATCGTACACCATCAGCTCCATCCTGAATTCCAGCGTTACCGCCAAGGAAAATGAAGTCAGCAGTTCCGAGGAAACTGTCAGCCAACCGCCGACCGAGAAGTCGGAAACGGACATGCTACTCGAAACTGCGGCTAAGCTGCTCTTTCTGGCTGTAAAGTGGGCCAAATCGGTGCCATCGTTCCTGCAGTTGCCAACCGCCGATCAGAAGGTGCTGCTTGAGGAATCGTGGGCGGAGCTGTTCGTCATCACCGCCGCCCAATGGGGACTGCCGATCGATAATGGTGAGTTTGTGCAGTGGCATTGGTACTTCATGTGACGTATTTCTTTAGGTAGTAGAAGAGAGGGATAAATTAGTAGGGTAGAGTAAAAACCTGCTAAAAACTTGAAAAAAAGGAAATTTTTATGATTTTTAAAATTATGTTTTATTATGCTAACATTTCTGATATTTAGCACAATGGACACTTTTAAATTGACTATAACACTATAGTAACTCTTTAAAAGAGCGACATGTGAAAAGGGCATACAAGCTTTTTATAAACAAACCTTTGTAGGCCCTTTTCTCGCCAACCGAGGGTCGCCAACGCAAACCAACAATATCATCGGGAAGGGAAAAGTTTCCCCTACCCGGTGACGTTGATGATTTGCGTTGTTGTCATATGGATGGCGAGAAAAGCGTATAAGAAGGTTTATTTACAACAAGCTTGTATGCCCTTTTCACATGTTGTTCTTGTTTTGAGCTTTTTAAATGTTTTTTTTTTCACCCTGAATTTTATGCAGTTTGTTTAGCCATATATTTTTTTCCATTGGATATCAAGCTGGAGCTGCGTGCCAGCTTAGTTTTCAAGACTTGACCCATTTGAATAAATTTAGCTTCTATCTTTGACAATACAGCAGAAGGACTAGCCTATGTTGGCCGCTTGAACACTGGATTCCGTATACAATACATTCCAAATAGTTATAGAAAAATGCTGTGACGTGTGCGCGTAGATACATCCGCGTAGTAAACCGATTGAACAACACACCAAAAAATTCTGAATTTTACTGGCGATGTAAATATGGAATATTGCATGAGATGTCTCATAAATTTACACGATCTATAATCTAAACTTGTATGTTATATGACGCTCCATTTATGTGCATCATAGTAACGGAAATTTACACTACTTTTTTTAGCTGTGAAGTAAATCCGTTTCGAACGAAATATCTAAATTATGTAAGTTACGAAAACCGCGCGAATTCCGAAAGCCGTGCGAGACAACCGAAGCGAGAAAAAAGGCTTATTATCATTTAAAGAGTGCCACCAAAATAAATGTGATAGCCTATGTTGGCAAGTTGATTAATTTTGGTTTCCTCCCTAGATATTCTACTTATTTTACTGTTGAGATTTGTTTCAATTTAGTTATTTTACCGCAAGTATCAATCATTTCAAGATTTCGCGACCGTACCGAACAAATTCTATACTACAGAAGCTCAAAAAAAAAATATTGGTGAGCTCTACCGCATTGCGAATCACTTCTGCGTAAGCTCCGTAGACGTAGGCGCGTTGATTCCGACAGCCGCGAAAAGTTAAACATGCATCAATGCCACATAAGGACGTATGGTTTAGTTCATAGATTAACATTGACTGCTGTTTAAAAATGTAAGTACTTGAACACTCACACCAAAAAATTCTGAATTTTACTGGCGATGTAAACATCCATGCATGCAAATATTCATACATGTAAACTTCCTTTTCATTTAAACTAGCACCACAGGAGTGGAACTTCGGATCAGAAAGTGGCTCCACTTGTCATTTGCGAACACTAGCGCACCTAGCGGTAGAAGGCATCTTCTGCCTGCAGTTAAGGTAGGCAGCATGCTATGATAGTGTGAGTGCACATAGAAAGCCCGTGTGGAACGCTACCACAACGCATCGCTTGTTGAGCAGAAAAACGAAACACTTTTTGATTCACCGATTGGTTTGCAATTCCCCTTCTGTTCTGTGCTAGCAGCTTGCAAAAAATGTTGCAAACAAAAGTGGACAGTTGCATACAATATATGGAATATTGCATGACATGTCTCATAAATTTACACGATCTATAATTTAAACTTGTATGATATATGACGCTCCATTTATGTGCATCATAGTAACGGAAATTTACACTACTTTTTTTTAGCTGTGTAAGAAATAAGTTAACTCAAATGCTTTAACCGCATATATTAGAAATTTCGCGTATTGAGATAATAATATAGTAATCGAGTGCAACAAACTCAGGGGAATACAACACACTCAGGTCTTTTTTTACACGGGGGATACGAACCGTGTAAAAAAAACCGTGTAAAAAAAACCTGCGAGATTTTGATTTTTCGCATGCTTGTTTGTTTTTAAAAAATCGGATTTTGATGCCATTTGTAATTAAAGCATGATATGGTCCATATAGACATATTTTAAAAATTTCTGTATTTACACCAAAATTGCGATTTTTTTTTTTAAGTATGCCATTCGATTACCTATAGCTTGAAACGGATAATGTGATTGGAAGCAAGTCGATAGGTTGTATCGTTGTCGAGAAATCGTTAAAAACGTACCGTGTAAATCGTGGAAAACCGTGTAAAAAAAAACCGTGTAAAAAAAAACCGCGTAAAAAAAACCGTGTAAAAAAAGACTTCAGTGTACCTCCAAAAGTTTAAAAGCTACCCAAGTAACCAAAAGTTCCGCATTCAACACTTCCAAGTTCCATAAAGTTCAAATAAAGTCCCGACAGAACATTCAAGTTCCATAAAGTTCAAATAAAGTTCCGACAGAACTTTCAAGTTCCATAAAGTTCAAATAAAGTTCCGACAGAACTTTCAAGCCACATGATGCAATCCGCACAAATCTTTTTTTGTAACAAAATTTAATGTACGTAAATATGAAATAATCAGTGGCCCGAATAAATCATAATTCTTATATTTATGCAACATTCTATCCAAAAATAAAAAATAGATTAATAAGTAATTTCCTGGATTCATACCCGTGTATTTGGCATGTGATCTACGATTGCTAACCACTGCGCCACAAGTGTGATGGAATACCACGCGGTCCCAGGCGAGTAAGAGAGGTGCCACAGTCGGAAGAAGTGTTAGTTTGTTTACTTAAATGAACCATGCCCATTTTGTTATGGCAAGTTTGCTATAAGAAATGCTCCTCGTGTTTATTAGTGTAATTCACATCAAAGATTGATTAATTGCGTAAGAAATCAGTTTGGCACAGCATTTGTGACCAGCATACACCTTTCGGTCGTACGAAACAGGTCAAAAACAGTCCAAATCCGCAGATAAAAATTTTTGTTTTAAATTTCTGTATGGCAAAATAGTGAACTTTTCGTGAACATTAACGGCAAAGAACTCACCAACACTGGGAGACCGTGAGTTCCTGCCCACCTGTCTTAAAAACATCTCGCACGCGGACAAACACCAATTTAAATTCATCAAGGTGTTGTGTTTCGTATTCAAGTCAGTCAGCTGGCTCAGAAAACTCCAACAATAGGCGGGACAACAGCTCACTTTAATATATTTCAGATGACGTAGTGGTTCGTGCTGAGACTCTCACGCTAAAGGACTGGGTTTAATTCTTCAAACAGCTCTAATTCTACTACTAATGCTGATAAATCAATACACATTAATACCATAGAGGTAACTCTAAGACTGGAAGGTCCCGAAATAACATGCGCAACTTTTTGGCTCAGCTCTGGTACTCTCTTCGGTCCCAAGCTAATCGATTCACCCCTCGAAACATAAGAAAAACGAATAACCCCTCATTTTATCTGTCAAACTTTCATAGCGAATCAAAACAAACATTGCGTAGTACTAGAATTTTGACTAGAATGGGGTACGTTAATCGTTTGCTTGGGACTAATAGGCTAGTCAAGTAGTGAGCCAATTTAAAATCGTTAGTTTCATATTGATTGTTGTTAATACCTGCCTTTAGAAATAACTTTCATAAAAGTGCGAACCAAATATAGAATTGATGTAGAGGACAAAAACCTTTTTTAATTTATTTTCTAAAAGTTCCATTCAAGTTCCGCCAGTGCTCTTCAATTATGGTACCGGAACTTTCAAGTTCTTATAACGACTTAAAAATGAGGCTGCTTAAAATTCTATAGACCACCTTCAACCAAGGTGCTTAAGCCATAAATAGCCTTTTATCAGAACTTTTGGTTACTTGGGTATTAATTGTCACATACCTCTACTTTTACTTATTTCCTAAACTATTCCTCTCCTTGTTAATCTGCTTAATGCTATTGGTCTGCCCGAGGGGGACGACTCTATCTACAATGCAGAAAATATTGTGTTTTGCTGTGGCTAGCTGCTCGCACACTGAGTAGATAGAAAGAAGATTGATGACAATTGATGCATGATGCGCGAAATGAAAGAAGATTTTTCGAAGATTAATTCACTAGTGTGAGATTTTTTGAGCATCTACAATTGAGATTTAGATGTGTCGCCCCCCTCGGGTCTGCCTTCGTTTTCTTTTTAAAGTTCAAGACTAAATAAGAAGATTTATTCTACAACTTTAAAAGTTAGTTGCCTCCCTAAGCGGACCCATCGCATCCTAATTCTTTTGTTAATCTACTTAATGTCATTAGACTTTCTGAAGTTTCTTATTTAAGTTCATTTGATGATTATCATATCTCATTAGTCTAATTTAATAAATTATTAAAAGCTCCAACTCACTTAATCAATCATAACCCATGCTTTATTAAGTACCGTAAAACGGGGTAACATTGATAATTTTTTGAGGTATTTAAAAAAAAAATTTACAGCAATGTTTTTCAAATTTTATATTTTTAAAACAAGTACTGAGGATTGAAGAGTTAATTCGTTAGTGATATGTTTAACGGAAATTAAAGCATTTACACTACTCTGTTTAGTTTTGTGACCGAACTTCAGCATTTTGATTTGAGGTTACTTTGATAATGTCCGATGAATGTAGAAAAAAGTGGGTGAAACTCAAACAATTTAGTTCTTAAAATATGAAACTTAGAATGAGTATATAATCAGAAAACCTCATAAGAAATAAGAATACAACAATGAATTTGTTACGGCTCTCTCAGAAATTCATTTCATAAGTGATGGTTTGAGTGTTTTTTTTTCAAACAGTTGAAAAACACGATAATTGTTTTTTAATATGTTTGTAAAATATGTTACATATACTATATAAAAATTATATACGGTATCAGCGGAGATTCCCTAAAATACAATATAAAACCAATGTTTCTATTTTTGGAAAAGCGCAGCGAGTAAATTTCATCTTTATATT